TCGGGCATCTGCTTAGGATGCCTCCTGGACGCCTCCCTGGTGAGGTGTTCTGGGCAGGTCCCACTGGGAGGAGGCCCAGAGGAAGACCCAGGACACGCTGGAGGGACTATGTTTCTCGACTGGCCTGGGAACGCCTTGAGAGGGAAGTCTGGGTCTCTCTAATTAGGCGGCTGCCCCCGCGACCTGACCCCGGAKAAGTGGAAGAAAACCGATGGACGGAGTTAAGACAACAACGATGAAATTAACTCACTGGTAAACCTTGCTGTCAGTTAACTCAGATCGTGTTAAAACAAAAACACTTCTGAAAAGTTTAAAGTCGGGTTCACAGTGAACGCGTTTTGAGCAGCTGAAGCAGCCAGTTTACCGGTACATGTAAAGTCAATGGTGGATGCACGTCTAGGAGCAGTGCAGCGCGTCTAGGCGCGTCTGAGCAGCGCACAAGGTAGCGGTAGAGCCTTTTTCCGTGCATGCGGCGCATCCAAAGCAGCCGACGCTCGAGTTCAAAAAATGTAACTCTTGCTGCTCGACGCGCCGCGTCAATCAATCAGAGAGGCTCATTTTTCCATGTGATGGTTTCCTGAATGTTTYCCACTAACCCGAAACGAACAGAAGCTCTTTAGCTGAAATGGACCATCTGCAGTTGGTGTTCTGGCTGGAGRTATCAGCAGCGATGTGGGTCAGCAGCTCATTAAACTGACCGCGGTGTTAAACTGGGCTCAGGACAAAAAATAGTTTGTCAGCTCGCAGCTCCTGGTGTGGTGATACTAACTGAACGAATCACCTCTAAATTATCTGGTGAATTAATTATCTGCTGTGCACAACGTTCGCTTGCTCTTTAGTTTTCATCTTCATCTTTATTTCATCTTTATTTCATCTGCTGTTAAAGACAGACCTTAAAAAAAACAAGAAGCTCCTCCCTCTTCAGATGCGCGTCTAGTCACGTTCGGTCTGTGCGGACATTATTGACAAGCGTCCAACTCGAGGCGTCAGGTGCATTTTGGCTGCTCAAAATGTGTTCAGTGTGAACCCGGCTTAACACTGAAATGTTAACACTCTGGTTTTTGCTGTGTACTTTATACCAAATTTCATAAAAAACTAATATAACTGAACTATTCAGCTATATATTTTTTCTAATTCTTATTATGTAGTTTTCAAATTCTTTACAGGTAATTCTAATGGATTTGAGGGAAAGAAGTTGTATCATTTACGCAGACATCAGGCTAGCATGAGCGAACATGTTTTACTTTTTGGATTTGTAGTATGGATCACATTTTTGCATACAAATTGATTTCTGTTGTGTGAGAATAAAAAAACAAAACAACAAAAAAAAAATATGTATATATATATTCTGTTATGTTTGGTCACATTTTCAAAGAGACACTGCAGAGGGGTCCCAGAGCCGCAGGTTGCAGACCCCTGATCTTCATTTCTGCAAGTTTTRTTAGATTATTCCAGGGGTTTTGTGAGATGCTCTGCTAATAATACAGATAAACACACACACACAGGCAAAAACAATATTGCTCCACCTTCACTTTTCAGAGGGTGATGACCACAAGACCGTGTCAACAGTTTGAACTTTCTGTAGTTTTAATTTTTGAATGTTTCCACTGTGAAGGAAGAGTCGGTTTTTCTCCCCCATTTCAGCCAAAATCCAAATAAACATARTTTTTTTCTAATTTCATCACAGGTGTTCAGTACTCCACGCCCTCAAGTTCCCTCCAACTGAAAGCAAATGAAACGGAGTTGAATCTGCAGGCAGAGTTGGTGTCTGCATGTCSTTTCATTAAAAGGTGGTGTATGAAGGAGGGGAGCAGCAGCCTCCTGAGCTCTGGCTCCAGGACCGGGCAGTTCAAGTCCGCTCTGGAAACTAAACAGTACCCTCTGTTGAAGGATGTGGAGATTGCACGTGGAGGGAGCTCGACCTGTGAGGCGGATCATGATGGGCACAGCTGGGTCGCTTCAGGTCTGCAATCAAACCAGCTCGTCTTCRTTTGARCCCTGTCAGGACGGCTGACTGGGACCTTCTGCTTCACACTGTGATTCTCTACGCTTCACCGCAGGCCAGAGTTTCATTAAAGGCAGTTTTTCTTCAGGCAGATGATGAAGAATAAAATTATAGAATATCTACACACAGCAACCCATGAGGACCCAGAGGCCCGATGAGCACTRGGTCCAGAGGACGTCCTGCAAAATGAGGGTTGAGGCTTTAATTTGACGGTAATTCMACTGAAGCTACTGATAAAAGCCTTCACTTTGCACATAACGTCACCATTAAAATTACTGCTGAGTTTTTTTTGACTTTTTTATTATAGCCTTCAAAAGGCAATAATGTTTTCTCCCTTCTGTGTCAACACATTCATTTGTAACATTTGCAAAAATGAATAAAAATCCCATGAAACAGTGGACAAGTTTTAATAAACATAAAGTTTGACCAAATGATTTTACTCAGACATCAAAGGAGGCGGGTGATCTCCATGCACACAGTATCTCCTGCAAACACAGCAGAAAGTAAAATTTAGATTAAAACGCTAAAGAATAACTCAATAAAGGCTCAGCTGGTCACTTCCACAGGCCACTGGTGATTCCTGAAACCCAGCGGAGAACCTCGGGAACATCCTGTTGGCTCTGCATCTCAAAGAGCAGGGGTCGAAGGGTGGGATCGAAGATGTCCCGCTGGTTTTCATATCCCTACTGAACTGACATTTGTTCCTCTGGAGAGAAAGTGTTCAAAGAGCTGAGCTCAAACAGCTGAATGGATTAATGAAGTGCGCTCTTTATTTCCTTAGGGAGGCACGGCAAATTTCAGCTGTCAAAAGACAGCAGAGATCATTTCTGTTCGCTTAAAGGAAGCGCTAACAGGTCTGAAGATGGTGGACATCACTTCTGAATGACAGGAGGGCCGCTGGATGTATTCTGAGATCACTTTGCTTTGCCCTCCAACAGTTAAACTTCAGAGTGAAATGACAAGGCCAGTGCTTTTTTTATATACTTTTAGAGCTTTATCAAGCTTTATTAAGGAGTGTTAGCTCAAACTTTAAATAAAACAAATGACTGAAAAAAACAACATTTTTTTCAACTACGGTAGTTCACTTCTGTATCGTTTTAACAGGATTTTCAACCATTTATGAAGTGGGGTTCTCTGTAAAAATAATAAAAAAAATTGATAAATTGCATTTTTACAAAAGCCAAAAGTAGCTAAATGAATCAAAGATTCAATTCACATCAAATATCACCCCTGAAATTCCTTAAAAGCCTTTTGACTTTTTTATTATTATTATTATTGTAAGGGAGTCAAGCTGGAAGAGCCAGAGGAAGTCATCTGACACCCTAGTTTTCAAAATAAAAGCCCCTAGTAGCTTCTGGAAACTTTTAAAGCAGAGCTGTTCAAAGTGGGGCCCGCAGCTCAAAATTGGCCCACCAAGCCATTTGGATTGGCCCACCAGCAGTTGTTCTGGCTACTAGGTTGTATTCTCCAGTTTTATTTAGAAACACTCCAACATTTGGTCCAACTATACAAGGAACTGTAGTGCASATAGTCTTGAYTCATGGTACTTTAATTTGTCTTGTGAATGAATGAATTGAATGAATTRTGAATGAATRAAGAAATTAGCAAAAGCTCTAAAGCACTAATCAGGAAATTAGTTCCCCTATTAGTGCTTTAGGGGAACTGTGCCCACCACTCATTAGTATACATCTATTTTGCTGAATCAAATACTGGCAGCTGCAGCTAGCTGTAGCWCTTGCAGGGCAGACTCAGGTCAGTTTCTGTAAAAACTTCTCATCAGACTAAATATTTGTTCAATAAAAAGCTGATATTTAAATCAGAGGAGCCCAAAGTGGGGCCCGTGGGCCAAATTTGGCCCGCCAAGCCATTTCATTTGTCCCACCAACAATTGCCAAAGTTACAAGGTTGTAAGCTGTTATCCTATGTAGAAACACAGTGTTTCCATTGGTCAAATGACTTTATAAAAGGGCTGTAGTGAAGGTAGTTTTCAGTCATGGTGCTGACATATCTTTGATTTATTAGGATTAAACATGAAACAACAAATGACAACAAGAAATACTTAGATCAGATTTAACCCCACGTAGATTTTCACACTTCATAAGGCCACAAAAACTCATTTTATCAATTTATGAAATGTCCCATGAGCCTTTGCTACTTGAGCGTATGACAGACTTTCTCCAAGTGCACAGACTAAAACAAAAGAGGGCCATTGGACAGTTTAATCATTAAAAATAAAGGACTTTACTTTAAAAGTATTTGTATTTCATGTATTATATAACTGCATTTGGCCCAAAGCCATGGATAKATTTTCATTTTGGCCCCCTCGAGGAAAAATTTGGGCACCCCTGATTTAAATGTTCTCCTTTAAGCTGCTTCTTTTCACAGCGAGTGAGCTGACATGAAATATTTGACAGTTATTTTGTCAGACCTGCTGCCTGCTCCAACAGACCCCCAAAAGATTTAAACACCATGAGATGAAAGACTGCAGCGGCATAAAGGTGGCAGGAAACTGATTTGGAGGTGGATCTACTTGAACATTAGCTCATCAATATGATCAGAAATAATTTCCATTTCTACAGTTCATAACTTCAAAACAGAAATMTCTCTTTTAGTGCAGTCTCAGCACTGAACAGGTGTTTACATTACTAATATTTGTAGTTATATTTCTACAATGCAAACACAAAGTTTACTTCATATCTGCTGCACATTTTGTTCAGCATTCCTTCYTTTATACTTTGCTGTTGAAACAATGAGACGTTCTCCAAACTCATAAAACAATTCATAAATATATATAAATCTAGAACAGACCTTTTATTTTTGTTTAGAAGTATAGAGCCATTTTGTGCACTATTCAGACTGCACAAGAGCAAAACTGTACAACCATCATCCGTAAGTGTTTTATCTAAAGTGAAAATATTCACCTATATTAACCAGATGTTTGRTTTTCAACAGGGAGAAACAATCACTAAACATACAGAAAATTACGATTAAAAAATTTCCACGCATAAAAATGTTAACATTTATTGCTGTTTCTGAATACCGCATTAAAAGCAAAAGCATTCAGAGTATACACAGAAATTATACAATTATATATGGTTTCACAAAGGCAGTGAACACATACTGTATAACAATCTACAAAAATCTACTTTACAGAAATTTAAAATTCTAAATATCAAAAAAGTACAGCTGCAGAAACGGGAGTAGAACTGGAACCAGGAGCAGTTCTGGGTTATCCGTCAGTGGAACAACAATGGTGACATCACGATACAAAGAAAGCCTTCGTCTTTGTACTTACAGCTGGTTTTGGAAACTGCGACTGGCAGACGAAAACAAAAACATACTCCAAAAATAAGTCAGTGAACTGAAAACATAAATTATGGTTTTACTCATTGAAAATATCTCAGTTTACAGAGGACACCTCTACAAGGTAGCATGTCAGAGTATAGTTCAGTTTGGACTGGTAGTGTGGTTTTTGTAAAACTATAGTTAAAAATAAGACAGGAGAAAATAAAAGCCCCCCCGACCTGACAGATGTGTAAAGATTGAACAGAATGTGTCCTGAACAGCCTCGAGAAACCAGGAGATTGAAGTTCTTTMGATTTTTCACAACAAACAGTGGCTCTGAACTCTGGTGAACCGTATTTAAAAAGGACTTCATATGACATTAAATGCCCAAATGGTTGGAGTGAGTGGCACCACTGCACTGTTCAAACAACCCCACTGAACACAACTGATTTAAAAAAAGACAACAATTCAAAGAAAGGCTGCTGAAACCAACTTCAAATCAGGAAAAGCAATAAAATATTCCAGTAAAATAATTTAAAAAAGATATATAGCTGTTTTTCGAGGAGTGTCCAAACGTGGGACGAGGTGTTTGTCTTGTGTTTGAGGTGCCTCTGCCCTCAGCGACAGTAAGGCTGGATTCAAGGAGGAGCTGGCTTATGGTCACAGGGTGGTCCTCGGTCTAGTCCTGCTCCATAGGCTCCTCGGTGGTCCCAGTGTGTGACGTGGCACTTCCCATGGCGCCCTCTGTAGGAGGTTCGGTTGTACTGCTGGAAGGAGCGAGCGTGATGTCCTCTCTGGCCGCCTCCACCCCCTCCTCTATGCTACAGCTGCTACCGCTGCTGCTACTGCTGCTGCTGCTGACCGGGTCGCTGCTGCTCTCCTCACTGTCCCTGCTGGTCTCTGGCCTGTCCAGGACGCCTGCAGGTTCCTGCTGCTCCGTCTGATCCATGTCGCTGCCCTCCTCGTCAGAGCCACACAGTGCTTCCCTCTCGGCTGGCTCCGCCTCCTGGCCTGAGCACATGTCAGTCTGGGTGCTGCTTGTTGGCTCTAAGGAGAAGATAAAAACAAGATGTTTTACCTTTTGATTATTTTCACTAAGCAAATCAATAAGGTTCATTCTTACTTTCTTTGTTTAATAAATCTGCAACAAAGTTACTTTTGGAATTTAAAAAAGGAAACAGATGATTCTTTACATTTCCAATAAAAGAAACAAATGATTTATAAAAATCATGTTTTTGGTTGATGATATAATTCCAACAGCACCAGGCCTCAGTGTTTAGTTTATAAATGGACTAAATTTAAGCATTTCACAAATCGCTAAATTTATTTCGGTTCTTCTGCAAAAATGCTTTAAAAAAAGGGATCCATGATTAATTATAACATTAGACTTTATTTA